GAGAGAGAGAGAAAGGCAACTATTCTATTATCTGTTTTCTGCAGGAGTTCTGCAGCAATTTACTCCAGCATCCTGCAGAATGAGTTTGTTTGTTGTTTGTTTCTTTTTCTCCTCTTCTCCCCCCTCTCATTCCCTCTCATCCCCACTCTCATTTGCTGGCCCTTGTTTGCCAACCTGCAGCATGAGATTCTGGACCCTCAACAAGCAGGGAAACGCCCAATCAACAAAAGCCATAGAGAGATAGAGCTAGCACAGGACTAACTTATTTGCTTTCGGAGTTCTAGGTGGGCCAAGTCAACAGGACTATTGTTCATTCTGCACAACCATCACAAGCATATGATTCGTCTACCTTACGTCTACCTTATTCGTCCCCCCCCTCCCCCTCCACTTCGATTATCATCGGAAAGTAGTAGCTCAACTGCTGACTAGTCAGATTGTCAAGATGGTATGGTTACGAGGGATGGCCGGGACGGCCAGGGCCGTCGGGCAGATGGGACAACAGACACGCGGCCGGATAGCGGATGGACGATTATCCTGGCAGATCAGAATCAGACGAGGAACAGGGTTCGGATGGATGGACCCCGGACAGATAGACAGCTGGAGGAGCGAACAAGGCTGTCCTAGGCAAGGCAAGCGCAAGCAAGGCAAGGGGACGTGCCATCGTGCTTGTCGTCGCTGGCCTTCCATCTATCCACCCACTCAGCCCACCCCATTCCTGCTCTGCTCTCCCCTATCCTGCCAGTCGGCAGTGCTTTTCACCCACCCTCCCCACCGTTACATCACTGTCGTCCTTTCCCCGTCCCTGGGGAAGCTAATCTAGCCGCCCCCACCTGCAGCTGCGGACGTGCAGAACGTTAGGCCTGCCTCCTGCAGGACCCGACATTATTAGTGCAGAATCTTTGACAGGTGACTATTCAAAAAAGTGCTGGCGCCTGACAGGGGTGATTCACCGTGCTAAATAGCCTACATAGCTGGGTGACTATCGCGAAGAAGCAGAAACAAATAGTAAGCTGCAGATCGTGGATGTCGCTTCGCTTCATCCCTAGCTGCTTGTTGCTCCTGCTGCTGGTCCATTCACTATGCAGCAGTCTCGACAGGTCTCATTCGATGGGGAGATGAGATGGTCTGGACTTCTGTACTTGTGCATGGCCACTCGTGTCGTGGCAGAGGAATAAAGGTATATGCAGAAATGGTGTGCTATTGCTCCGTTCCTAGTTAGTTGTCTGGATTATTTGCAGTGCGAGCAAGCTGCCAGCAGGGAACGAAGAAAAGTGTCTTTCGAAAGTACTAATATGAACCGGGCTAGACCAATTCGTCTGCCCGATAAAAGAGCGCATATATTGTAGATGCGATATACAGCTCGGGGAGAACACAAAATGTCGGCGGACAGTTACCCCCTTCTCGATTGTCAGATGGGTTGAAAGTCTATGGTCCGATCTGAGAAAAGCTTCAGCGGGACCGATCCTATCAAGCTTCAGGCCTAATCGAGCGGGAGAAGCCGTGATTCCGATCCCCTTTGATAGACCATTAGGGTTCCATCGAATGAGCTTGTTACCTTTCTTGGAAAGTGTCTAATCTAACAGAAATACTCTTGATTGAAATGTAGGTACGGAGTAGGTCCTGTGTGGACTGAACTAGCTAGTGAATTTCAAACGTGGCGTGTGATCATTCCGAAAAGAAAAATCAGTATATGCTCCCCGGCCCCCCTTTCCTTATCTATGGTTTTTATTTGGTTATTCCGTATGCCTGCAACGCCATGACCTCTCTCTAAACCAGAAGAAGATGTTCGGAGCAAAAGGGAAAATAAAGAAACGTAGAAACTGTATCCGGTACCCCAGTGCAAGCAATTCCAGTCGAAGCAAAATGAGTTATGGGAAAAAGTTGTGTGTTAAGACAAGGTAGGCCAGAACACAGGATCCTGACGAGTGAGAAGATTGCGGAGACAGTTAGATCGATAGATGTGTGTAGTAGTAGGTAGTATGAAACGAACACGTCCGAATGCATTCACAGGGTATTGGAAGCGGACCAGCAGGCAAACAAGAAAGACGAATCCAACAGGTCAGCTACCTTCGCCCCCCGGCGCCTCAAACGACAGCAATGCCGGATAAATGGAACATGCCAGGTCTGTTCAAGCGGTCAAGCGAGTCCTATAGTAGTCATAATCAAAAGATCCGCGGTAGGGCCAATCGCTTTTGTCCAGCCAATGCAAGCACGTAATCAGGCGACGGGATGTGACAAAATCAGTTCCGATTATTGCGCTTTAGTTCGAACCTGACTGAGTAGAGGAGGTGCCAGGCTTGGGCGCGACCGCAGGTGGTCCCAGCGGCGGGATGCGGTTGAGGGAAGGCGAGGACATGAGCGATTGCTGGCCGTTCAGTTGCGCCTGCTGTCGGAGGGCATTTTCCCTCTGCCGGCGCTCCTCTTGCTCCGGGGTCATGCACTTGATCGGCGGCGGGATCGGTGCGTCGGGCGAGCTTCTGCCCATCAACTTGGGGCTGGGCTCGAGTCTCTGAATCGGCGGAAGAACGGGCGCGCCGGCGATGCTGCCCGAGGTCATGGGCCGGGGCGATTGCTTGGTCGGGCTGATCCCTGAGAAGGGCACGCCGTGTGAGCTCTGCGGCGGCGACGACCGGCTGCCACCACCACCACCACCAGCAGTAGGGGTGGCGATGAAAGACGGTCGGCCATTGCTGAGTGGGGGCAGCTGGACATTGCTGTTGCCCGTGTTGGGGCGTGGAGTCTGATGCTGGCCGTGCGGTGTCCAGGGAGCCATCTGGTCCGATAATGCCACGGGAGGAAAGCCTGCCAGCGGACCGACGTCGCGATTTCCCTGGGTCGGCGACATAGAGGGACGGTTTTGGATGGGAGACGGAAGGGTTGGGCTGTGTGCGGAATGAGATGACGATGGGCGCCGTCCAAAGAGGCCACCGCCATTGAAAGCTTCGCGACCGTTAAGCGGTAGGTGCATTGAAGGAAGTTTGGGAGGCAGTTCCTTGGATGCTGGAGTAAAGCCATTCATGCCTTTTGACGGGGAGAATGGAGCCCGAGGGGGACTCAACGGCGCTGCATGCGCGGACGAGGGTCGGCGCTCAGGAGACGCTGGAGGCATAGAGGGAGGTTGATCCGAAGTCCGAGAGATCATGTGTGGTAGGGATGGTATTTGTTTTGAGGGAGACTCAATTGAAGGCATGGCGCCAGTAGGCGGAGCTTGTTTCGTGGCTGGAAGGGGGGATGTTTCCGCGTCCCTGATCTTCTGCTCGCCATCGGCAGCGCCTGAGGGTGAAGTTGAGGAACCGAGTCGGAATTTCAACGGGGGAATCTTGGGCTTCTTCGCCTCCTCATCGCGCCTCTTGCAGTCATCGCAGACAAAATGGAAGTCTTCGCGCTCGGCCTCGTGTTTGGGGATACCGAGGCATTTGCTGTGTTGCCACACATTGCACTTTTCGCATGCGACGCTATGAGAGCCATCGTCCTACTTTATATTAGCAGACGCGTGTTATCATCGGCGCTTAGAACTTACCAGGTTCTGACCGTGAACACCGCAGCCCGAGCAATCAAATGTCCACTGATCTTCTTGGGAAAGATCTTCGAGATTCTTCCGATATCTTTCCATCTCAGCCCTGAGATGTCTCTCGGATGCTCTGCTCTCGCCTCGCTCGACCTTCTTGTGCTCTTCCTCAATGCGCTGCAATTCGTTTTCGTGCAGAATGCGCTTGCGCTCGCGATCCTTGGTGCGCTGCTCACGAGTGATGATGCGTGAGCGTCTCTCTGTCTCAAGCTTCTTCAATCTTTCTTCCTCCTTGAGAGCCGCGGCTAACTCAGTTTCCCGTTTACGCGATGCCTCAAAAGCTTCGCGCTCTTGTCTTTCTTTCTCCGCCTTTCCGGCCAGTCGACTGGACCGCTTGGCGCCTGCAAGCAGCTGCATGTTCGCAAGCTCCTTCTCACGCTTGACCTTTTGTCGCTGATGGGACTCCTCTTCCTTTTCGATAATGGGAAGGACCTGCTCCACAATCCGATCACGGAGAATCTTCTCATCGGGGTCTCTAGTCTTTTGGATCGTCTCCAGGAATTGCTGGTAGTCCGAGAGCGTGATAGCAATGCATTCCCACTGCATATCTGCGAAGGGATCCTTGGAGGCTTCCCCATCCGCAGCATTGTCATTCTCCTCTTCGGATTCTTCCACAGGGTCAGCCCCAGTCACCTTTCTCCGTTTGGACGCTCTGACCGCCCGGGCGCTCTTTCGCCTTGACTTGCTCTTAACCGGCTTGGGTGCTGGGATCGGGGGATCGGTCCGACGATAGAGTCTGTTGTCGTCCAAGATGTAATAGTATCGTCCATCGCGATCGTAGCCTATCTCCTCGATGCGCTAGGAACGGAACCAAAAAGGTGAGCGACCTGAGCATCACGAGATCTTCCCGCAGGGAGGCACCTACCCATTGTGTCTGATCCAGCTCGCGCTGTTCCGGCATCTTGTCACGGATGCGGTCGGGGTTCCAGAAAGTCCAAATGGACAGTTGATGGAGAACGCGAAGCTTCAAGAACACATCGAACTCCAAGAACTTATTGGGAACCTCATCATAGCCGAAGGGGTTCGTGATATGGGGGGCCTTCGCGTTGTATTGACGTCGCGTATACTCATCGAAGTTGTCGAACCTAAGAGCAAGAAGGGCATTTGCGTCAGCAGTAACACACAGGTAAATTGAGTCCGTGACGGGGACGTACGTGAGGCCACGATGCGACGACACCCATTTGAGGAGACAAAGTCCGATCTCCAGGAGTTTTTCTGACGACTCCGGCTTCATACACTCATTTTCCAGGTCCTAAGAGCAAGCGCGAAGCGCCAAATGTCAGTTGCTTGCGAAGAAAGTGCGACCGGTGGGAAGGAGGATAGCAAGGAGAGCAGAGCAGCCCGGGCAAGAAAAAAATAAATGAAGGGAGCCTCAGCCGCACGGATGATGCACCCATACCTCAATTCCAAAATCCTCATCAATCTTCATAGGTTTCCCAAAGATGTGGATGTACTGCATAAGATTTGCAAATTCCCAGCAGTTCCGCAGCTTCTGAAGGAGGCCCTGTTCCTCATGTAGCTGCTCCGGAGCAGCGTCCACCTCGGAGCGGGCGCGCTTTCGCGATACCATGATGGCGGATCAAGACCATCAAAAGGCGCCGCAGCGCAAGACAAGGTTCCGACGGGAGCGGCGAATCCGCGTCTGCAGTGAGAGGGGAGATTTTGTGATCGGATTGGAACGTAAGTAATGATATGATATGATACGTGGGAGATCACGAGAGTAAATTGCACAGAAGGTGGCTCAATGTAACAAGCGGAGGGAGGGCAAGGGCGGTGATCGACGGGATGGTGGTGGATAGTAAGTTAGTAGTAGTACTGAGTAGACACAGGAAATCGTTCGGGGCTGGGCAGAAGAGATGAATGAGCTCACTGTCTCCGTACCGTCTCACTGCTTAAACCCGGCGGCGGCGCGTCGAGACCCCCGGTCAGGTGACGTGGTGCCCGTCGATGGGTTTGGTCTGGTTTGGTTCGTTTGATAGTGGCGCATCGATAAGCCCTTCATTCCAATATTGATTCACCCCTCTGTTGTTCAAGGCTGCGCTTTTTTCTGTAAATAGTGGATTTTGATATTAACTAAGAATATAGAGGCAGTATGCATGCAGTGGTGAAGAAAAAAAAAAAGAAGAAGAAGAAGAAGAAGAAGAAGAAGAAGAAAGACACAAAGCCCATCAACAACAGTTGCACTCATTATAGGCAAATGGAAGTTTTCACACAGTAGACAGAAGCAGAACCAGCTTAACCATAACACAACAGAGAGTAAAGGAGGAAAATAAAAACAACAACAACTAAATCTTGGTATCTCGCTCAAAGAGGGTCTATCTCACTCAGATGGAGGATGTGGAAAGTGGATCATAGAGGACAAGCAAAATGCACAAAGACAAATAGCGCCATCCGTATCCACGCCACCGCACAGCCAAACCATTGTGACCGAAATGGAAAAAAAGTGTTCAACACTGGGGGCAATGGAAAAGAAAAACAGGAGGAAGAATGAAGTTATAACAAAATCACAGCAGGCCCGGAACAGAAAAGCCCAGGCAATGCGAATAGAAAACAGCAAACCCTTTGATAATAATGGACGAAGAAACCCAAGCGCAAGCGGTGGTCCCCTACCTAGTTTTCTTCTTTTTTCCTTCCCCACTTGATCGCCTTCATCTCCATCCTCTTCCGGTGGTTTTTTTGTATCTCAATCTTATATTTTCATCTCGTCAATGCATTGCCATACCACGTAGTTTGCGCCTTGTAATCCATGTTTCGCCTAGAGCCGGTCCCATGCATGTCGTAAGGTTGTCAAATATACCAAGTAATAAATCAAAAGAGAAAAAGATGCTTTTGAGACTTTTTACATGGCAACACCCGGTGCGCCGTCGGAGACATTATCCGAGAGGTTGATGAGAAGCTGCGCCAGGCAACGCTTGGTGGCAGCGTCATCGCGGAGGACAGAGGAGAAGGTCGCATCTCGCAACGGTTCGGGAAGACACTGTCGCAGAGCTTCCCGCGCTCTGCTGTTGTCGCTCAAACTGTTCAACCGTCAGCACGTGTGATCCATGCGGGGCGGGGTATGACGGAGAAGTAGGCTTACCGAAGGAAACAACGTACGACATGTTTGAGAAGTCGAACAGTCTGTTGCTCCACAAGTTGAGTAACCATATTACTTAAGACAGTCCCCACGGCGTAGAATCTCTCGTAGGTCGCGCAGATGTACGCCAGGCCGATATCATCGAGGAGAATTTTTTGCACGATGAAAATTGCGACCGTCTTGCTCAGCTCAGAGCCTGTCTCCATGATGCGAAGGCAGAGAGGGATGATTTCGGTAGTGAGAAGGAAGTTGATAACATCAGAGGAGTCATTCTTGACCAGGGCTCCGATCACTCCGAGCGAGGTGAGACGAAGGTACTCGAAAGGGCGCGACTTGGACGTCGTGTTGAGAAAGGGGTATAGAAAAAGGGGAATGTGCGCTATGCGAGCGAGAGCGATCATATGTCAGAAGTGCTTCATGGCTATGAGACTTTCAGAGGACCACGTACCGTTCAGAAATAGAGTGCGGGTCTCATTGTGGGAAGCGACACACTGAAGCAGAGCCAGCGCATTGCAAACTCGATTCGAGGCGGCGGCAGTGAGCTGAGAAGGGTTCAACAGCGGGTATACAGAGATGATTTCTTGAAGTAGTGCAGTCATGACTCCTAGACGTCCGGATTATGTTAGTTGCCACCCAGATTGGTGAAGCCGGCCAGCATCGAGACCGTACCAAAAGAATGCCAGATCACCAGCGCGAGCTCCGGAACCTGCTCTCTCTTCTTGCTGAGCTCCATGAGAGCCGCCTCTCTGCGATTCGGATCCAGGAGTTCTGCGACCCAGATGAAGACCTTGCGGTTCTCATCGCTGATCCCGCCATCCATCACCGACACCGCACCCGACAAAGCACCATCCCCACCTAACCCTCCAGCACCGGCTCCCTGCGAAGGGTTACCAGCACCGGCATTTCCTGCCATAGCGATACGGGTGTAGTGTTGTTGTTGAGCGGCGGCGGCGGCGGCAGCGGCCGCCTGAACTTGGGCATGCTGTTGGGCGACCAAAGAATGCTGCTGTTGCTGAGCCTGGTGCGGGTGGGCTTGGTGATGCTGCTGCTGCTGCTGCTGCTGATGTTGCAGCCACGAGGGATCAGCCTGCGGGTACTGATGCTGATGAGAAAAAACGTGCTGGGTCTGCGTTTGAAGCATGACGGGGTTGGCGAAGACTCGGAGCACGACGGGGACTCGTAATCCTCAGGAGGGAGGAAGGAAGACCTTGGAACAGCCCTGGGCGGATAAAAACCGGACTAAGACAGGGAATGTCGAGGGGAGGGTTCAGAGTGTGTCAAGAAGCCAAGCTCGAGATTGTACTCATGGATATGGGCTATGTACACTGGATGTGTGTATGTGATTGTGGGGGGGGGTTGTGGTGTTGGGGGGCGAAGTTGATTTGAATGTCGGGGTGGTGAGGAGGACGGAGCGTGGAATTGATGAGTGAATTGGAATGGACTGCCAGTTGGGACTTGAACTTGAGACTACGGGAGGCGGGGAGGCACTGGTTCCGCCCGGGCAGTTTGTGCCGTGCTTACTACTACTACGGAGTAAGTTACTAGCTAAGGAGGAGTAACTTAGTCACTTAGTCACTTAGTAACTTAGTAGTCGGAGTTTCGCCTGGACCCTTTTCTTGGAACAACTCCCCGAGTCCCAGATCTGAGACGAGTCAATGATCACCCACCTTCAAACAATGTGATACATACTTTGCTTTTTTCTTTCTTTCTCAGACCGGAGACCGAAGTACTTGAGTCAAACCCCATGTCATTTTCCTCCCAGCCCCGTCTTCGGACCGTTGATAGGCGCCTTGCAGGTTACACCGTGAGAAATGCGCACGAGTTGATCTGGCAGGTGCATGATTATCTTTGTCGCCAACTCGGAATTCAAGCAATAGGTACGATCGGAAGCAAGTACATTCAGACTCTCAGGCTCGATGCAGCCTGTGCATGTGGCCATCTTATTTGCCGGCCTCAGAGGGAATAGTACTACTGTACACCGGTACATTCCGGTAAAATTCAAGATACCAAGAACAGCATCTTTCCGATCTACTGCTTGCTCATCTTTTTTCACCGTCTCCACAGCGATCTTTGATCAGATTCTGTCATGATTTTCATATTCTTCATATTTACATCCGCCTTCCCAGGTCTTGCATCGATTGGGGAAATAAACATCGCGATCATCCGAAACATTAGCACATCGCGGGGGTTCGCATAATAACATGACAACATAAGGCTTCATCATACATGGAAAGTTCTTCAGTGAGGAAACCGAAGGAAACGTCATAATACACACGCCGGGAACCTGATAGAGCGCCGATACATGCAAACAGCTTGTGAGAATAAGCAAGAAAGAAAAAAGAAAGGGGACCATTGTGACCAGTAAATCGTTACCCAAGTTCGTCGAGTTCGTTCCGTCAATTCATTATCTTCGTGAGCGCGTACGAGATCGTCTGGAGCGTCTTGTCTCTCGCGTGCGCCGGTCTTCAGTGATCTCGCTGCCTAAACAGTACTGAGTTAGCATTCCGAATGACATCAATCCCGCAAGAATGCGCAAGCGCTTACCATCGTTGGTGTAATAATCAGAGTAGTAGTAATAACTACTTGGGTATGTGGAATCCGTCTTCTCGTCGTCATCGCGGTGGTCTCTGCTTCTCTTCAATCCCAGACACAGTGCAAGTGCGCCCAGTATAATTCCAACGGTAGCCAAGCCATTCCAGGAAGACTTCTTCTTCTCGCCCGCAGTTGATGTTGCAGCTGCAGGCCGGCTTCCGAACCAGGTCCGTCCTTCAGGCCGAGTGGCCCCATGCGCATGCGAATGACGATGGTAACGCTCTTCGACGTAGGTCGTCTCCTTTCTCCTTCTACGACCGCAGCCCAGACAAGCGAAGAGAGAGTCCAGAATACCACGGCAGCACAGGCAAGCGCATAGTAGCAGCAACAGGATGACGCCGGCAATTGTTCCGATGACGATTCCTGCAATCGCACCACCACTCAATCCACCACTTGAAGCTTTCATTCCGATCACCGTTGAGCCAGCCGTGTTAACAGGAGCAATAAAGCCCTGAGTGGTTGTTATCGAGGCCGTGTGTGTGGCTGTCGATAGAGTCGTGCCTCGGACGGCCGGTGTGGCGGTTCCCGTGGCCCAAATGGATGTACTCCCCAAGATGCACTGGTTGCTGTAGCAGACGTACGCAGGGCCGCAGCAGTCACTACCGCAGATAGTCTCCCCGACGCTGGCATCGCAGCTGGAGCCGGACGAAGTAGCCGAGATGTAGCTGCTCCATGTGGAAGTGAACGTAGCAGTCTCCGTCTCGGTCCTGACATAGGTTGTGGTAAAGTACTCCCAGCTGCCGCTGCCGCCAGCACTTACGCACTCGGCTTGGCCATTGCTATTGGTACTACATGACTCGCTAGAGCTGCAGCAGAGCTGGCTATAGTAGCCGCAGGGATTTGCGCAGCGCTTCTCTAAGACCGTGCCATTGGCATAATCAGGCTCTTCGTACTCCAAGACCGTCGCAATTTCGGTTGGGGTTGTAGTTGAAGTCGCCGTCGCCGTCGCCGTCGCAGGCGCAGTGGCCGGTGAGATCGCCGTCACGGGCTGAAGGTTTAGTAACGGGAGTATAGAGATGGCCGACTGCAGTATGCGGGACATATGCATGGCGAAGAGAGAACGTCTGATTAGCGATGACAGCCACGGAGGGGCGTATACTGGGGCTCTGGAATGTTTTCAGGATTCTGATCGTTCTGAGCGATGTCCAGGATTCAGGCTTATCACAACACCCGTGTCAACGGCCCCGTAGTATGGTAGCCGAGCTTCATGCAACTGACAAAAGCATACAGCAAACAAAGCCAAGCAATGGACTGGAATGCAAGACTGTCAATAGTGTGGATATCGATAAACGAGAGAATGTCTCCGCGAAATCAAGAATGAGCAAAGAGATAGAGAGAGAAAGAGGGCGGCGGGGGAGAGAGAGTGTGTGTGTGTGAACTGAACTAGACCGAGGAGGAGCTGTTCATGCAGTCGAGTTTCCGACGTCTCCCTTCCTGTCTTTTGATCCCAGCCTCCGTGCCGTCGTCTCCCCAACCACCGCATTTTATGCGACAAGCAACCACCAATCACTGCCAACCCGCAATGAAGGAGCGAAGGAGTCATGATTGTCAGTCAACTTACGCTTCATAGATTAAAAATGGAAATTCGGGGGGCTGGGAGAACCCACTCAGTGCACACTCTGTTGCCCCTCCGGCGTGCACCGGTCAATTGTTCCACTGCCCCTCCCGTCTAGTCTATCATTTCACCCGCTGCTTGCTTTCTTCCCCTCTTTGCTTGAGGAGGTTCCTGACAGCGTCATCATCCGCTTGCACCAGTCACCCTCATGCTGGGCAAAAATTATACGCAAACTAAGGAATTTAGCCTGCGAAACAATGTTGGGCTCCACCACTCTAGAGGATTTTTCCGTGACGAGACTGATTGTCGGTCTGGCCATGGTCTTCCCTGATTTGATGCCCGGGTGGACGTTCTGTCAGGTACTGACTGCATGTCTTCGACCACACCGTCATAAATCAGGTATTCAGGCATGGATACCTACTACCAGTACCAGCACCAGCACCAGCACCAGCACCAGCACCTCTTACGTGTCGTCCGAGGCCAATGCAATTCCTTACTTGGGCAGTGACTTTGGCGTATGAGTGATGCAGTAAGCCACCGTGGATCTGACCTATGATCTGACCTACACTATACACGGACCCAGTTTGTACTAAGTATGTTCCGCTCATCACCGGTCTAGAAAGCCCTATTTATAACAATGCGTTGATGAAGCGGTGTGTGCCCCCCCCCCCGGTAATGCGCACATCAGACCAGTATGGATCTCGTTGTCGTATTCCCACTTTACACCCAATCCGAACTAGAATCGTGCTCGAGCTATACTTCATTGGAAAGATATAGCACTTCATCCTGCGTGTGCATTGATGCTATCTCATTGTCATTTCTTATATACAAGATTCTCCGCGAATACATCACAGTCATGCTAGCCTTAAAACTTCCGAACATAGCACATCATCGTCAAATCGTTTCATAAGCCAGATCCCACCGAAGGAAGATCCAGGGCCATATATAAGCGTCAAAAGCTCCGAAGACTGTCAAGAGTTTCGAAACTGGTCATCAATTGTCATCCCATTCGCATCCCAACCGATTCAGTCATAAATTGCCAGCAAGCATATATATCCATATTCCGTACGTATCGACATGGAAGCCCGACTCCTCGTAGGACAGCCTCACATGAACATTCCAGCCACTCCGATGAACATGCCGAAGAGAAGGTCCTCGAGGCTGGAAGTGCGTTTGGGGCCTGTCGCTCGGTTCTCGTAAACGCCAGTGGTGTATGCCGCGCAGTATCCAATGTTCAGGCCATGGCAAGCCTCCAGACTGAGACTAGAGCATGTCGACATAGCTGCTGAGACGCCGGCCCGAGTCGTCCCCGAACCGCCGTCTACGGCAACCGTCACTGCATACCCGCCGCCGAGCTGTGACAGACAGCCGGTATACTCGCTCTGGCATAAAGAATAGTAGGATGTGCAGACCTGGGCATTGGAGAACGAGGTCGGGATGACGACGAATGGGTAGGCGGCTGCGAGAGTTGAGCCCGTGAGGGTGACACTGGTCGGCCCGGCGGTGGTTTGCGTAGCGCTGGCTGTCTGAGGGAATCGGAAGCTGCTGGTAGAATCTCCGACCACGACTACTCCGGTCCCCGTCGCAGATAGCGTCCCCGTGCAGCTAGCTCCGGTCGGGCAGCAGGCGATATTGTTGGCATCGTCACGAGTACAGATGGTGTTGTCCTTGCAGCAGATATCAGAATGGCCCAGCTTGGAACAACCGTCATAACCAGATGGACAGTTGCCGTCCCGCTTTCTTAGAATCTGTAGCACCTCAAATGCTCTGCGTCTAGACTCTGCAACCTGCGGCTGCGAGAATGGTAGTGTCTCGATTGAGGGTGCTGCTGTCTCTATCGATAAAGCCGTCGAGGCGAGGAATGCGACCGAGATCCACCCGAAAAGCTTCATTCTTGAGGGCTAGGGCTGTTGTGCGCCCGCCAAATTGTGTCAGAAATGGGTGTGTAGCGTGGAGTAATGACTGTGAGTCGGTGCTCACAATGGCTGCCGTTTCTGTCGAGTTGCGATCAGTGTAGGTACCTTCGACTTTGATCCGATGCGATAGTTGCAGAGCGATCAACAAACTTCTCGAAGCGGCCGAGGCAATCTATAGATAAGGGAGAGATTAGCTATCGCTGCGATGGGGTTAATAGGAAATTATGAACTCAACCAGACTTGCAAAAGAAGACTCACAGGGTGACTGACTGAAAGTAGAACCTCACCTTCCAGCCTATGAATTGGAGCAATCAAGTCTGCAGCGGATCAGGGTGGGTGATGGAAAGCTGGCGCTGCATCTTCCGGCCGTTCAGGCAGCGCCGTCTCCACCAGAGACTAGAGCTCCCCTGCCACAGCAACGGACCGGCGCCCGCGGTGGTTTCTAATCCCGGGCCTCCTGCCGCCCATGCTGGAATAATAATGGAGCCCGCTTGTTTCCTATTTTTGGCCAAGTGAACCATCCTAGGTACAGTACGGAGTACGGGACGGTGTGGTCGGGAAACGCCCCGGGTGTCCGCCGGTGGCCCCTTCGCTCCCTTGGTTATCGACGATGTGGATAAAGTCTGCTCCATTCACAACGGCAATTGATAGGCAGGGTCCTGGTGATGTCATTCCTATAATCTCAATCTACTATGACTACCACCTACCGAGCATACTCCGTCCCATACCTACCTACCTCCAACTCCTCCCACATCCTAAACCACACGAAGCGATACACAGAATTTGGTTGCTGTACCCGTGACGCTGCCTGCAAACTTCAACCACACCAGACTTATTTGCTCGCTTGTATTACCAATCCAGCGTGTCAATTCAAGGGTTATGATCGTACAGGTCGAGAAACATGGTCAGGCATGTGATTTGGGAGGGGCTTGCTGATTCATATGTGAAATGAATACGAAGGAGCCTTACCTTACAGCTCCATTCACCTGCGCACTTTACCCCCCGTCACTCATGCTTAAATTAGTACATTGTTAAAAGACACCCACACTGCTAACGGGCAGAGATAAAAACTCCTCTAGCTTGAACCAGCATGTCAACCAGCGAACCTACTCCCATGACAATCCCCATCGTGGATTTCAAAGCATGGTTCAGCACTGAAGATGAAGCCGCCCGCCGACGGGTTGCACAAGAGCTTGTGGAAGCATGTCAGCAAGTTGGCTTCGTTTACATCATCAATCACTCTCTGCCCGAGCATCTTCTCGACTCGACGTTTGACTGGATGAGACGCTTGTTCGAGCTCCCGGAGGACATTAAAATGCAAGCACCTCATCCTGAGGGGTGGGCAGTGCATCGAGGGTACTCCTGGCCGGGCTTGGAGAAAGTTTCTCAGACTATCAGCACTGGAGACGATGAAGAGACACGGCAGAGGCTGAGAGAAGTGCCAGATGTCAAGGTGTGTCTGATGGCTCAACGTATCGACCCTGCATAGGCCCTTGAAGCAGTCCTGGATTGATATGTCTTAACGACTTTGGACTCTTGTAGGAAATCTATGATATCGGAAGTGAAGAGAACACTGCTCAGCCAAACCAGTGGATGCCCGAAGAGGCACTGGCGGGCTTTCGCAGCTCTATGAATCGGTTTTACTGGGATTGTAACGGGGTGGGCATCGAGGTTCTCCGCGCTCTTGCACTTGGCTTGAACCTGGACGATGAGAATCACTTGGTCAAAAAGCACTCAGGCCATAACAATCAGTTGCGACTTCTACACTATCTACCGGTTCCAGCGGATGATCTTGAAAAAGATCGGATAGCTCGGTGTCCTGCACACACGGACTGGAGCTCAATCACGATGCTTTTCCAGGATGATTGCGGTGGCTTAGAGGTGGAAGACATCTCCCAGCCGGGCAATTTTGTCCCCGCTGCTCCTGTCAAGAATGCAATCGTCATGAATGTTGGAGATTTCTTGCAGCGATGGAGTAATGGTTAGTATCTTTCTCTTGAAGTGTTGACGATGCTGACTGGTACAGACCGTCTTCGGTCTACTAATCACCGGGTCAGACTCCCGCAGTTATCCGATCGTTTTGAGGGCAGTAATCGTATGACGCGCGAACGCTTTTCCATTCCGTACTTCATGGCTCCAGACCCTGATTCGGTCATCGAGTGCATCCCATCGTGCATGAGGGAGGGTGAACCGGCCAAGTATGAGCCGATCACTCAAGAAGGTTACAATCAGATGCGGGCATCGATGATGTATTAGGTTTGGTTCAATCGGGAACAACCTTGAGCACAGATCTTCCAACCAAGGTCATTTTCAAGAAGTAGCAGATAACGAACTACTCCAAACTATTAGCCCTGAACCCTACCTCGGGTTCTTAGAAGAGTAATCAACCTTCACCGCCTACAGCCATGCCCAATCAGAAACAGGAGACGTCCATGCGTTCATCACCTGGCAGCGACAGCACGTAATCAATCATTTACGGAGTACTATCACCAGCGACACTTCTAATACCGACGTCCGACTTTTGAGGCGACGACAACATCCTTTCAACTTCTCAAGCCAATAATCTATTTTCCACGTCTACAAACGCTCGAATTGCCCTCTCGAAAGAGCGAATATAAGGACCGACGCGATCTACCCCTCCCTCCTCCAGCCCCTCAACTCCGACACCAACCATCATAATGTCCATCCCCAACGAAGCTCTGCAGAAGGTCAGTCACGAGTCCCAAGTTCCAGACCCCATACCTCCGTAACAACACATTAAACTAACATCTTGACAGATCCTGCAAGAAATCGAGGCCCAGGCCATCAGCTCCCAACAGCAATTGGGCATTACCAAGGCTCAGATCACCACCAAACAGCGTGACATCCGCATGCTCGAGCTCACATCCAAGGAGATCGGAGACCTACCCAAAGAGACGCGTGTGTATGAGGGTGTTGGAAAGATGTAAGGCTCCCTCTCCCCACTGATCTCATGCATGTTTCCCAATATCCAGGGAGGCGGATGGTTTACTATTTGCCTACGGGGACATCCACCGCCTTCACTTCTCCCTTCCTGCTCTATAACCATTTCGAGATTCTCCTCTGGCGATATCGCAACCACATGATGCAATGACTAACCATCTGGATAATCGCAAACAGGTTCGTCGCAGTCCCCATCCCCACCATCGACAGGCGGATATCCAGCGAGAGCAACGAGCTCAAATCTGAGATTACGGGATTGGAGAAGAAGTTACATTACCTGGAGATGACGCATAAGAATAGCCGGGAGAACTTGGAGCAGATCTTGAAGGCCGGGCGTGCTTGAGCTGCTGCTTGTCTATACTTCATCAGAACAAAATCGGGCGCCGTGGTGTCTTTCGCTTTCTTTCTTCTTGTGGATATTTGTTTAATCATTATACCTTTTCCGCCAAAGGGTGTGTGTCTGTGTGAGAGCAGGTCTACAATGTACATGATGGAGGGGTTTCGGGGAGACTTCGGGAGGGCAAAGAACTGTCAGTTCCGTTTATCCTCATGGACCGAAGTCAAGCCATCCGACAGGTGGTACGGATCAGAGGAATCGATCATGTAGGTAGGAGTCGATGCCGGTGGGATGGTTCTTTTTGCCTGCGCACAAGATGATATCACCCCGATCACGACACCCAGAACCAGGGACGCGGCTGGAGCGGCAACCCTCATCCTTGCTGGGACACAGCGTGTGTATGTCTCAGACCATGCATATCCGAGGAGAAGCATTGGGAGATCGGAAGGATGACAGCAGCCACGGCATCCTCTGACCTCACTCGATGGGCCTGCTTGCTGCTTTGCTTGCTGCTTTGCTTGCTAATTGCTCGACCATTCGAGACGTGAGTGCTCAATCCGCCATCTCTTATTCATTCGGACCATCGCTTATCTGTGTGGATGGCTCTGTAGTCATGTCCGTGGCTCCAATTCCAGGCTCTTCCAAATATAATAGGTCGGTATAACACGACGGGTTATGCGTTCAGGATGCATACATGTACCCTGGAGCTTACTTGGCTCAGGCCACCAGTAGCAAGCAGCGTTCTAGACGTTTTCGAGGGCACACACCTGTCGGACATGTAACATGCATCCTGTGTATCGAGGGTGAACATCGATGTACCTCGTAAGCAACCTAGAACGAAGATCCATATGTCCACTCGTCGTTTTATCTCCTTATCGGTTGCGTGAATATGCATTGTGACCAAAAGTACCTTCTTGTGTAAGCAATGATGAGTGACTGTCAGCTCGGCTGGATTTGTTTAGGGTCATACAAGATGTCGAATTCCAGGATAATGGCTGATCTGTGTCGCTCTTGGTGTGGCGATCAGACAATTGTCCTTGGTGGAGTGTAGCAGTGTCCTGACCGGTTACTCTTACTTGACTTCGAAGCGAACGATACCGCTCACGTTCATTTGCACGCTCAGCTCCATGAATCCGAGGAGTCATATCAATCTTTGAGCCCTGCAACACTGGCTACGACTATAGCAAGTCACCCCAGTAACAACATGATTCCGATCGGTGAAAGCTCGCTCTTACCTCGATCCAGGTACGAATCATGGAATACAAGGTGACACAGAAGTACAACCAGGAAGCGAGGTGACACGAGCTGTCTTTGCTATTCATAGCTTTAAAAGGCAAAGAATAGGAAAAAACCTCCAAAGAGACAGATAGCATGATGATCGCCCGTTCAGCCACGGCAATTAGTCTCGATCCTGGGGAATCCAACAGCCAATTCGGCGTCATATGTCTTAGAATTGCACGACTGAGAGAGCACATCCACAACTCCATCATCCTTATCTTGCTCAGCCTCAAGACCATACCCCTCAAGGATGATGCTTGGTCGGAAGCTCTGCGACACCCTCTGGATGAAACCCTGGCCCGCAACTTCCATCTGAGTTCAGCCAGTCGACTGTAGCATGGCACGTACAGTACATAGCAGCACATGGCAATTAGTGCACTGATCCTTGTGCAAATCTACCTTCAGGCTACAAAAACGCCACCAGACATCCTGCTTCCAGAACAGACGCTCCTGCCGTCGACACAATCTCGGCGTTGATAGAATCACGTTCAACGCCCTCCTGAAGTTCTGCGAAGTTGCGGGGCAAAGAACCCAGAAAAAGGAAAAATGACATGTAAATCATTTCCTTTTCTCCGCTGCTCCAACAACACGACCCAGCCTTCCCCCGGGGGATTTCCTTGCATGATGATGGCGACGAAGGGACCCTCTCTCTCCTCCGCGGATCGACTGGCATACGTACCGGTCCTTCTCAGCCTTGGAGAAACAAGAATAGTAAAGGGCTATCTATTTGTTAGGTTTCAGCCGATCCAGACCAAGATTGCCTGACAGCCGGCATTATAGCTGCAGACCCTCGGCACTCTAGGAACAGCCAGGACGCCTGAAGACGGGTTGGAAGAAAGGGTATAAATAGTTCCTGATTCTCGGTCTGCTGCAAGGAGAGATTTACTTCCAAGCAGCAAGACAACTGTTCCTTTCACAACCGATTCTCCAAGCAAGTCTACTGATCAACCTCGGGTCTATCAGCGTTAACAACCTATCAATATCATTCCTTAATCAGGCATCATGCAACTCTCTCTTTATATTCTTACTGCCCTGAGCCTGGGGACTGCCACGACTCTGGCGGCTCCTTTCCCCGGGACAGAAGTCAGTGCGCAGAGTGCTTCCACATATCATTGGCACGGTTGTGGCTCAGTCGGCAGTGTATGTTCATTCCCTTCGAATCTCTGGGGTATCTCTTTACTAATGATCGGTGAACAGTGCTATAGCGATGGCGATTGCCAGGTTGACGAGAACTGCCTGAGTATGGCCCAGAACGTACGTTCAGAAGACCCTGCGCTTCGTGTTTCTGACAGTACAAGATCGCTAAACGGATTTGCATTATATAGGAGACCAGTCATGTCCACTGCGGACAGGAGAACCATCCCACTGCATGCTGGGCTGTAAGTGCCATCATCGTCTTTCATTTCTTGGGTCCTCTGCTGATCAATTTCCCTTCTGTTGTTAGGAGTGGTTCGAGTGAACCGAAAATTGGGGCCGTTTACGGCAAGGATATACGCCAGATTGATGGATTTGATGCAGCGGATGGATTTAAAGGCCTTAATAATGACGACGATAATGGAAGAGTCTTGTTTGTTTTGTTTTTCTTTTGATTTTTCTTCCCTTCTATGGTTGTTCATTTCTCTTGACTGGCAGCCTGCACGGCGAATCTCAGCATCCACGTTTTCCCATACGAAAGCCCACACATAGCATATGTGTCCGTGCTGATAGAATGACATGACATGACATGACAACCGATTTTCGCATCCGTTATGATGACGTCGCACAGTCACTTGTTGATGTACTCGTAGAGAAGTCAAGCCTTTTGAACCCGAGATTGCGGCCGCAGGCCAATCCCAAAACACCATCTATCTGATCGATAGATGATTTTGGGCTGCAAAGCGAAGCATCAATTGAACTGATTTTGCCTCCTCCTTTTCCCTTCCACAACCACACTGCTACGTACTGTACAGTGTTTCCGTACATTCCGAACGATCTTCGTGATGGGGATGGATGCCAGACAAACACCGAGGAGGGATGGCAAGATCAGGCAGCTCCTCCCCCCCCCCCCAGTATCCAGATCCCGGATCGCTCCTTGGTGACAGAACCCGATTCAGGGTGGCGGTGGCCATACCTTAGGTAAGTACTCCTTACTTGCTGGCACTCTACATGTATTCCCAATTCTTGCTGGCTCTATGCCTCTGCTCCAGGTGGTTTGTATCGGATGCGTTGAGGCATCAAATGCCTTCGGGGTTTGGATCGTTGATCGACAAGGGACTAGCTTCAGAGAATGGAGAAAGGATGAGGCTGTGGCTGTGGCTGGTGGTGTTGGGGGCCAAAAGACGTGATGATTGAGAGTATAGCTACTAGTTTGCCAGTGTAGTGTACAGTACGGAGCAGAATACTAACTTGGGACTGTGGCTCAATCAACTTGGAACAGGGCTTGGTTTCGCACTGCGCACACATGCTCCGTGACCGCAACTCAAGGCAGCCCGGTCAGGTGTCAAGTGTCTGCAACCGTGAGCTTCACTACTAGAATAAGACGGAAGTCACGCTGGATCGGATAATAATCATTGGTAGGCAGGGTCAGAAGATGGTACAGGTACTCCGTACATGTACATGTACAGCTCAGTTGAGGACTGTACAGAATGTGGTGTCCTATCTGCTTCCATTCAATACTGTTGAGGGGAGGGAGACTCCACTCTCGGGCAGGACCAACTCACTCTTTCTTACTGGTACAGTGACTGTTCCAGGCTGCACACAGCCTGGACTGGGTCCATCAGGTACCAGCGGAGTCCACTCTTTTAGTTGCGCGTACCACTCGACCCTTCGGACTGTGCCCCTCTTTTTCCGCCTTCTTTCTTTGGTCTCCAGACACCAAGCCTCGTCCATGGATACTGCAGCGGTTGTTCCCGTCCTTCTTCCCTTGAGTAAGAATACTGTCAACATCCTTCGAGAGGATTTGCGTGTGTATCGGAAGAATTATTCTTCTCTAGTCTATCATTAAAGGATGAAGTCCTAGAATCTTCGTATGTTGCACTGGATGGAAGTGACCAGACTTGACAGCCGCCGCTCAGTGCGTTAAGTCACCCCTCCATTTGAAGCCATCTGTTCGACGGTAGACCGATCAGCCCTACCACAGTAAGGTGGTGTGGGAACGAACTGAAGCATGATTGTCAACAGACAGCCAGACAATCCAATTTTCAAGACAGGATCTCTCTTCTCTTTTTTCTTGGTCTGGTCTCCGGCCTATCGTAGGCGACAACAACTTCGCCAGGCAAAACCGACGATGACAGGTTCGGTTGCCAGATGATCAATCAGCTCGGCCCAATGATGCCAATCATTCCCCCACTTCAGCTGAACAAGACGGTTTTTTAAGGCACGACAGAAGGCTTTTGCACCTGCTCGTTTCTTTTCTTGTTTTTCCCTTTTCTTTCGTTGCGTTGCTTTGCGTCCGTCTCGTCTCGTCTCTTTTTCTTCCTCTCTCTCTCTCTCTCTCTGCTTCGTTTCCCATCAGTCCCTGGGTTTATCGTTGGTAGTAGTTGTTGGCGCTGTCTACCACTGAACTGTCACCACCACCACTGCTGTTCTCCTCCCAGCCTCGTTCCCCCTTCTTCCAATCCAGCCCCGTCGACGTCACCGCCTGCCAACCCGTCATCCCACCCCCTCCTCACTTCTCTTCCCCTCTTCCCCCGTTCCCCCATTCCCCCACCATTCAACGGTCTGACTTGATCTTGATCCAAATTCAAAACACCACACAAACACAACAAGTGAATATAAGTTGTGAGCAAGATATATTGCAATAGAAGAGACGCAGAAGAAGAGAAATCCACTCTCCTCGTTCTCGCAACATGGGTTCCCGTCGACGTCACACCCTCCTCACCGATTCCGAATCGGACTTCTCCGAATCGGATATCTCGATGATCGAGTACCCCGGCCGCAAGGTGAGCCATCGTCACCGCTCCGTCTCGCGGCACCGGCACTTCAGCCCGGAGTACAGCAGCAGCAACGCCTACCTCAGTCCCGTCCTGCACAGCGACGCACAGCATCAGCAGCATCTCCACCGGTCCGCCTCGACGGGCGCCCGCCGCCGGCCCGACCGCCACCACCGCGACCACAGTCAGGCCCCCGTGGCCGTCATCGTCGACGTCAACAACCACAACGACACCAAGTCGGACAACAAGACCGACACGAAGACCGACGCCAAGACCGACTCCCGCAACAAGAGCGCCACCAAGCAACGCAAGGCCGAGCACCGCCTCAGCAACAACTACAACATCAACGACTACGACGACTCCGAGGATGAGACGAACCTGCGCGCCCACCGCCGCCGGCCGCGCTCCAGCACCGCCAGCATCTCCCGCGAGGCGTCCCCGCGCGCCCCCGGCGTCGGGGTCGGGGCGCCGCAGATGATCCCCGCGGGCCGCGACCGGGACTTCGAGCTCGTCATCGATCAGCGGCTGCTGGAGCGGAACGACGCCCGCCAGGACCTGGAGCTGTTCCGCCAGCAGCAGGAGATCGAGCGGCTGGAGCGCGAGCTGGCCCGCCACCGCGAGGTCCGCGAGCACCAGCAGGAGTACCGCCCGCACCACGAGGTGCGCATGCTCAAGGAGGAGGAGGACTGGTACGAGGACGAGATCAGCGAGCGCCTGCGCCGGCTGGAGCGCTTCGAGAAGAAGCAGCGCATGGAGGAGGAGCAGCGGCAGGTCGAGCACCGCTACAAGCTGATCAAGTTCGAGGAGGCCCAGCGCCAGGCCGCCGAGCAGGAGGAGCTCAACCGCAAGATGCGCCAGAAGCGCCTCGAGGACCTGCAGCGCAAGATCGACGAGGAGGAGGAGCGCGAGCGCATCAAGAAGGAGATCCGCGACGAGGAGGCCCGCCGCATCCTCGCCGAGCAGGAGCGCGCCCGCAAGGAGGCCGCCATGAAGCAGGCCGCCATCGACGAGTGGAAGCTGAACGAGGAACGGCGGATGATTGCGGAACGCGAGGAGAAGAGGCGCCGTGATCACGAATTCAAGGAGAGATTGAGACTCGAGTTCGGCTACAATGAGCACGAGATTGAGGAGATCCTCCGAAAGAAGGAGAAGAAAGAGAAGAAAGAGGAGAAAAAGGAAGAAAAGAAGGAGGAGAAGAAGGAAGAGAAGAAGGAAGAGAAGAAAGAGGAGAAGAAGGAGAAGGAGAAGCTCCCGGAGCCTGAGCCACACCAGCGCACCACCTGGATTAAGGTATTCCTCCTCTTTCAAGAAGAATCAGCGACGATCAAAGCTGACTGGCTGGCTATAGGTTCACCGCAAGCATCTGCTCCCTGATACACTGATCGCCTACCGCCTTCCATGGGACTGGGACGATGTACGTTAGCCCTGACACCCACATCTCTATTACAGCAATACCAACTAACTCTCTCTTCCATCACAGCTCGACAGCAACTACATCATCATCAAGCAATGGATTTCCGAAGATTTCCAGGAAGAGCTCTTCGCCCACACGCGGCGCTTGCGCGAAGGCAAGCTCGTCACCCAAACCTCCAGCACCCTCACCGAACTCAAGGTCAACGACAAGAAGAAGAGTGACAAGATGTACCTTGTGAGGAAGAAGAACCCCGGTGGCCGGGCCTGGATTCTTACCTGATCGATCGATCGAGCATACGAAGCCACACACCCAACCTGATAGAACAAAAACACACCCGCCGCCGCCGCCCCGTCGAAATTCTTGAAATTATGATACCATGATCTGTCTTAACGTCTGTCACGAAATTCGGTATCCTCCAGCCGCCCCTTTTCTTTCTTGTTTGTCGACTCTCTTTTTCTTGTGGGAAATCTCTTGTCAAGTCCGTGGTACAGATCCAGTTGAAGAGGTGCAAGGATGCTATCTATGTCCAGTCCAATATTTTCTCGATTTCCATTATGTCATGAGTTGGGATTTTGAATGCCTTTTTGTTTTCCCCTTTCCTAGTCTTCCAAGGGAGTTGAACATATGATATGATACATTTGCATGTGATGCAGAGAGTGAGTGAGTTGCCAAGTCCTTCATCTCTATGATTCGTAACAAGTAAAGAGATTCCGTGCGGTGGATGAATACAGACGAGGAGAGACCTCCCCTGCCGAAGTATCGTTATTTGGTGATGGTGATCATGAGCGCGATTCTCCCTGCGCAGCCCACTGCACCTCAGCGCGCAGGATGAGCTCCTCGTACACCGTCCAGGCGAGCGCGGAGCTGAGGGCCTTCCGCGTGATGCGCAGCCCCAGCCCGCCGAACAGGCTCCGCACCCCGTCCTCGCGGACCATCAGCCTCGCCGCCCGCATCATATTGCCGTACCGGCCCGGCATGAGCTGCAGGCGCGTCTTGACCGCATCGAAGGGGTTCGTGATCGCCGTGGCCAGACCCGCGGCCAACCCCCCGGACACGAAGTTAATGGACGACGAGGACGGCGACCGCAGCGGCTGCGGCTGTTGCTGCTGTTGCTGTTGCCCGTCGTGTCCCTCCGCCGCGGCGGCGGCCGCGGCGGCGCGACTACTCGCCAGCGCGGCCAGGTGCCGCTTCAACTGCTCGTAGAACAGCACGTAGAGGCCGGCGTAAGGGGCGTCGCGGGCGGCGGTGGCGCCGAAGCCGCTGAACAGGCCGCGCACGCCCTCGGTGCGCACGATGTCGCGGCCCGCGCTGAGCAGGCTGCGGTAGGCGTAGAAGTCCGACTCGTACCGGACTTTCAGGACCGTCACGGGCATCATGACGAAGCCCGCGGCGACGCGGGCGGCGGCGCCGGTGGCGAGGTTGGCGGAGTTGGAGAGTTTGGGGAGCGCGGAGGAGGTAGAGGACTTGCTATTTATGGGGTTGGTGGTGTTGTTGTTGTTGTTGGGGTTGCTGGGGCTGGGACTGGCAAGGACGAAGGGCATCTGGGTTTGGGCTAGCCCTTGGCGCAGCGCGTTCAGGCTGGTGAAGTACAGCGCCGAGCCGAAGCCCGTGCGCAGGGCTGAGGGGAGGGTGCCGCGCCATAGGCCGCGGATCGGGTGCGGGGAGGACAGGATTGCTTGCAGGGTCGGGAGGAGGGAGGCGCTTTGGGATTGCTGTACGCGGGTCTTGAGGAGGTCGGCGGGTTGGAGGAGGATCGAGGAGGTCAGGCCGGAGCAGAGGCCGGCGGCGAAGTGGAAGGTTGTTTTGGAGGCTGGGGTTGTGCGGATGAGTTAGTGGGTGGGGGTTGTTTGCTTGTAGGGAAGAATTTGGGGGGAGGAGAAGGGTGAGGGTGAGGTAAGGCTTGGTTTGTATACAGAGGGCGCAGACTCACGCGTGGAGGTTGTTTTCACCTGCGTCACCGCGTAGGAGGCATTGTTCGACATGTCTTTGGAAGTCGCCCTCAGGTCGGTTCTGGGGAGGGCCTTCGATGCGGTAGATTGATGTTTGGTGGAATTGGTCTCACAGGCCTCGGTTCGTTGGGAACAAGAGGAAGGAGAGAGGTCTGGGGGTGAATCGATGAAGAATTCCGAGGGTCCTAGACAAGCCGCATCCAAGCGGTCACATTCACGTTGATAGAGGCAATGACAACATTTCAGGTTATGATAGAGAGTGAGGAAGAGGGAGATAGGCTTCGCAGGCAAGAGATAGGGCGATGGAAGTTCGCCTGAAGAAAGTCAGGCACAAAGTTTCAACAGTACAATGTAAAATCCAACAGGAAAAAGGAAAGACGGTGTAGAATGGATAATGGATGGATGGATGGATGGATGGGAAGAATTGCACGTTCACAGAGAAGGGCCTCGGACGGACATTTTGGACCCATCCAATTTTCCCGAAGCGGCCAAAAGCGGATCCGCTGGTCGGAGCGAGTGAAGTCATCATCAGTCACTAAAGGAAAGCAGGCCGATTGGCGGATCCAGCCACTTTTGAATACTCTCACTTCTCCGTGCTTTTCACCTGTTCTTCCGGGGTGTCCCGCGCAAGGGATGGATCATAGATCATAGATCATGGATCATGGATCATGGGTCGCAATGCAGCTTAAGCTTATTATTATTATCATCTCCAGTAGTCCGGATTGACAGACAATAAGGGTCTGAGAGAATCACAAAGGACTAGTCACAAGAGACTACTCATATGTTGCACCAGTTCCGACCAGGGCGTAGACCTTGTGTACAGTACCAGTACAGTACCAGTACCTCTCACTCACAATCTACACCTCTCCTCTACCTAGCATCCAGCCACCAAAGCTTCTTTTGAGCAGAGCTAGACGCTTTTCCTGGATACCCTAGACAATCCGTACAATGGAGCGTTCTGACAAGCCTCGAGCACTGGACGGATGGCAACCTGGACTGAAGATTGTCTCACCAGGAACATGTGCCGCGGGAGAAGGGCTGAACGCAGAAGAATGCTGCCCTATCCTCGATGGAAAACACTCACTATTCTCAATATTGCTGGAGTGGGCATCATGGCCACCGTGGACTCCATAAACCGACCATTTATCGGGCCTGTCCAATCGGCAGGCAATGAAAGCAGCCTGACAAGTCTGACTGGGCCGGGCGCAGATTAACTGTGGTTGTCGATCGACGTCACGGGTCTGGTCTGAGAGGGGGAGGAAGTCAAGAGAGGAGGGAGAGAGAGAGAGAGAGAGAGAGCGAGGAGAGTGGAAACACTTTCCAAGGCAACTCCAATCTGTCAACCCCGGCTTTCAATTTTCACTACCCTTTTTTTACTCTCTCTCTCTCTTTCTACCCCGATTCTCATAACTGTCATGCTCTTTTGCCTATAACCAAGATTCTCTACACAGTCTCGTCGCGTTTGAGAGCTTATCGCAGCCCCTCTTCCCTGCGGAGAGCTTCCCTCCTCCTCCTCCTCCTCCTCCTCCTCCTCCTTCTCCTCCCATCATGTCTCGATGGGCTTTCCTTCCGAACATTCCGTATCCGCCCTCGAGGCCGGGATACTGGAGCCCCGTCACATCCACCTTGAATTGGTGTGAAGAGGTCCGTCGCCATGATCGGGTCGCCTCTTTGAGGAGTATATGCAGTGCTAACATGTCTCTTGCATAGGATTACTATGCTACGATTTACTCCGCCGAGATCGTCAACACCCTGACAAACCTCCTGTTCATGTGGCTCGGGATCAAGGGCATCCGCAGTTGTCGGCGCAACGGACATGATAGGATCTTCGAAGTCGCCTACTACGGCTACCTCGTGGTCGGAACAGGCAGTTTCCTTTTCCACGCCACGCTGAAATGCAAGCCACGTTCCTCAACCCACGTCTATACATCCTGAGCGCTGACCCGGGTTCCTCTCCGCACAGATCCCATGCAGCTGGTGGACGAGCTGTCCATGATCTACACCACCTGTCTGATGTGCTACGCCTCCTTCGCATACTCCAGACCCACGCCCTTCCGCATCTTCTTGGCCTTCCTCCTGGCCGGCCTGGCGATCTTCATCACCCTCTACTACCACTACCTCCAGGACCCCGTCTTCCACCAGAACGCCTACGCCCTCCTGACCACGGTCGTCGTCCTGCGCAGCATGTACACCATGGAGGTGACCCTGCGCCCGCGATGGCGCCACTCCACCGAGGCGGACCGGCTCGCGCGCGAGCGACAGGGCTTACCCGTCCCGACCAAGGAGCACCAGCATTACGAGAACGTCCGGGATATGAAGACCCTCAAGACCATGTGGTTCATGGTGGCGTACGGCCTCAGCATGTTCTTGGGCGGATTCGGGATCTGGGGCTTGGACAACGTCTTCTGTTCGAAGATCCGCGGATGGCGCCGGGAAGTGGGTCTGCCTTGGGGGATCCTTCTTGAGGGCCATGGATGGTGGTACGTTTCTTTTTGATCCTTGGCGTGTTCGCCGCCAGATGATCTCGAATTGGACGCAAAAATGCTGACTTGGACCTTATTTAGGCACTTGATGACGGGGTTCGGTGCTTATCTGTACATCATCTGGGGCATCTGGCTCCGTCATTGCCTGAACGGGCGCCAGGAGGAGTATCATCTGTGGTGGCCTCACGTTTGGAATTTCCCTGAGGTCATCCGCACGAGCAACCAGGGTAAGATTGAGAATGGCGCGGCTAAGAAGTCGAACTAGATTGGGTATATCCTATTTTTTTCTCTTGTTTTATTGTTCTAGATCAGCCGCTTAGGGGTGTAGTTTGAGCACTGGGAAGTGAGCGCTTCGTTCTCTGTGGTCTTGAGCTAAGAGAACTGCGCTGCGAACCGGGGCCGTGCTCATTGCCGTCGTCTCGGCCACGCTCTTGGGAACTTATACTACTTATAGAAGTAAAATGAACCACATCCAATTGCTAGGCAAGACATCAGTCCACGTTCCTGGTGAAAACACCTACTGTACCTATACAGTATACAATCTCTAGCGCGCAACACAGCATCGTCATCTATAGGCATAAACCCACCGTCCCCTACAACTTCGACTCGGGAGCCGCCTTCTTGGGCCTCTCCGCCCTGGGAACATGCTCCTTCCACCGAGGATCGATGGTGACCTTCTCGATCTTGGATTTCTTGTGCCACTGCTCCCGGAAGGCCTCCTCCTCTCTGCGCCACCGCTTCAGCTCGCCACCGAGCCACTCACTGGCCGCCTCGGCGCACGGCCCCGGCGCCTCCTGGGCCAGCAAGTGCCCAAAGTCTTTGAGGTAGACATCCCTTACCCGCCCCGCCGCCACCCCGCCGCTCCCGCCGAGCCCCGTCCCCGTCGCCCGCCGCTTATCCTCCATCATCTCCGGCAGACACATATCCGACTTGCCGGCGAAGATGTAGCAGACGCTCGGCCGGAGGTGCGGCAGCATGGCGAACACCCGCGCCGGCTCCGGGCGGTAGAACGGCCACGAGCCCCGATGCTCCGGGTTGAGGTCCGGGTGCGTCGTGCGGTCGACGGGGACTTTCCGGCCGGGCGGTCCGTCGTAGTTGGGCCGCGAGAACGTGAAGACTTCCTGGTGGAGGGTGGTTTTGAGGGTGACGGGGCGGTTGGCGGCGTTGTTCTCGTCCTCGTCCTTGTTCTGGGGAAGTGGGTGGATCGCGGTGGGCAGCTCGCGCAGACCGTGCTCGATCCAGCGCGCGAGCACGCGCGCGTCCCACGCTTGGTAGAAGGGGCTGCGCTGGAAGCCCGCCGCCGCGGCGGTGCGCGAGGGCCACACCTCGCGCCGGTAGGTGGAGAGCTGGGTGGTCTTGGCGATCGTCTCGCGCTGGTGGTGCGCCATTTCGAGGTGGTCCAGTTGCGTGGATTCGCGCTGGATGACTGGGTCGAGGAGGATGAGGGTGTGAATGAGGCGCGGGTGCATCAGGCATAGTTGGGTTCTTTGGGTTGTTGTTGGTGCGTGGGTTAGTGGAGGGGCGGGGTGCCAGTGGGTGCTATTGGATTGGGGCCGGGGGGGGGAGGGGGTTAATGCTCACAGGTGTGCGCCGCCCATGCTATGTCCTACGCCTACGATGGGCCGTGGCATCTCCTTGCGCTTGACGTTGAGGAGGTGCAGGAGATCCCGGGGGTGGTCGAACCAGCTTGCTGTTTGTGCGCGCATGTTGGTCAGTGGCTGTTGTGGCTGTTGGTTGCAACGTTGATGAGAGGCACGTACGGTCATTTCCGAGAAGGTCTTCGTTCAGCACGCTGCTCTCGCCCTGGTGGGCTACATCTGCCATCCAGATGCTCCGGATCCGGAATCCATTGGCTTTGGAGCGTGCGTATATCTCCTCCCACAGGGGCTCGTAGAGTTCCTGGCAATGACGGGTCAGCTGGTTTGTCCTGATGCCGGTGCGGAGGGACGCTGTGTGACAGCGGGAGTTGATTCCGCGGCGGTACCTTGGGGAAGCCATTGGCATGTGCGGCAAGGATTGTGACGTCTCCCGGCTGGGGGTTGGGGTTGTCCAGTGGGATATACTGTTTTACTGCAAGGTTTAGAATGTCCTCTTGCTCGTTGGCGGTGGCCGCGGGATACTCTCGTATATGTTGGCATTCGATCGTGTGCTCAACTACCCGGAAGGGGCTGGGTGTTGTCGGTGACGAGGACATGCTGATGGTGAATCTCTATGTGGATTTATGTGTGATTAGAGGGTATGGAGAGGCTATGCATATATATTACTTCAATCGGTGCCTCGGGGCGTGGGGAAGGGAAGCTATTTCCCCAGATCGGAGTGGTGAACTGCCGGGGGGGTGAGAACAAGCCGAGGTTGATTTGTAGATTGCCGCTGGCTGAGGGTGCTATACTTTTCACATTGTTTTACTTTGCTGAAAAGGTCAACCAGTAAACCCAGTTATCACATCACAAGGCAAGATGGCCGAGTTGGTCTAAGGCGTCAGGTTAAGGTTACCTTAGCATTCAGCTTCACAGCTTCCTGATCATCGTTTGATGGCGTGGGTTCGAATCCCACTCTTGTCATATCTTTTTGCCCTTTTTTGATCATTGATCTCTCTATATCATCTATTTTTGTTCTGCCGCAGTTTTTGGAATTTGTATTTGTTTGTCTTTTAGAAGGACTGCTTTGATGATGGTGAACTTGATTGTCTTTAGTATAAGTTGTTGCTCGGGACGGTGGATTAACACGGGAAAGGTTCGGTGCACAATATATGTACCTAGGTACTGTATCCATATAGCACGGGCACGGTATATACTTTCCGGATGATGCCGTCTAGACCCCCTTTCATTACTGCTGAAGTTGGATCCATGATCATGACCGAGTATGGGAACGTATCCTAAGCAACAAGCAGACTACAATCTATACTCATCAACTGCGAGGACTCTTGCGGGTCATATAAATGTGTTACTCATACTAGCAGCTGCAAATACAATGAACCAGTCCTCCGTACAGCGACAACCCAACTCGCAACTTCTGATACCTCACAACATCCCGACTTCTGACAGACCACGTACTGTACTTGTCATGCCCATGGGACCATATACGATGACACATGGTACTGCTACCCGATGATGTTATTCTACCACACTGATCTGTGATACATCTTATCTCCACGTGACGTGGTGTCGTGCGGCGCGTCGGCGCGTCGCATTTGCAGAACCACGAGGTTCAGCTGCCACTCCATCTTCTCAGCACATACACCAATCCTGACATCACTCGACCAAACATACGGTCGTCGCAGCCTATCCCAATAAATCAAACAGAGCCACCGGAATAGCTCCCACCATGGGGGACCCAGGTGGAGAGATCCAACTCTTCAACCAGTGCAAGATCTGTATCATATGCTCCAAAGATCTCAGTGCCGATGCGGCGCATCAAGTCTGTCGCCTGATCCTCCATACGCCCACAGACTACTGAAGGGATACAATTACTGACTCTTGCCTCATACAGCTGGCGTTTACCTTCGAGCAACATGGCGGCGAATCCGTTATTTACGAGCCACCGGCCGAATTCCCGCCTCTGACCGAATTCACGCACCTGATGAGCTGCACCGTCGACTTCCCCGCGTTCGAGGCCGCAAACGATGCCTTGATCCCCATTGTCAAACCATACTGGCTCCAGGCCTGTCTTCACAAGCGAAAGTTGGCCAACCCACGGCAATACAGTCCAGATCCTCGACTGATCCTCAACGATGTTGTGGTGACTTGCGGTGACATCCCGGAGGGCGACAAGGAAGCAATCATCGGGGGAGTTCTCGCAAAGGGTGGATTGTATAGTCCCAGAATCTCCCAGCCGGTCACCCACCTGGTTGACCTGACTGTGGACTCGGATAAGGCCCGCCTGATCATCGCGAAGAGGCTCAAGATCAAGATCGTCTTGCCCCACTGGTGAGCAGACCCAGAAGCAAAGCTCAACTTGGTAGGTCTAACGAGGGTTTCTTCCAGGTTCGATGACTGCCTCAAGCTTGGACGGCGAATCGACGAGCGCCCTTACCTTCTCCCCGACCCCGAGATTCTGCGTGCGGCGCCCGACGCTCCCATACGCTCAGCGGAGAACCGAGACATCATCGGTGCATCGACACCTGACCCCGCTAATCTGCCAGCCGCCGTGCAGTCGACAGACGAACTGCCCAGGCTACATGTCTTCGAGAACAAGAGTGTCATGCTTGCTCCGGATCTCGGGATCGGGTCGCGTCTCTCTGGCTCCATTGGAGACATCATCAGGGAGGGTGGAGGTTCTGTTGTTGCGGACATATCAGCTGCGGACATCCTGATCTGCCGCTACCGAGAAGGATTCGCCTACCGCATGGCATTTCAGCTGAACAAGGATATCGGTAATCTATCCTGGCTCTACCACCTCATGACATATAACACCTGGACTTCGCCTCTTCGACGGCTGTTACACTATCCCGTTTCACGCAAGGGTATCCCGGGATTCCAGGGATTCAAAATCAGTCTCTCAAACTATGTCGGAGAAGCCAGAAGCTACCTGGAGCACCTGATCACAGCAACCGGTGCCGAATGCACCAAGACCCTCAAGCAAGAAAACACACACCTGGTGACGGCGCATGGAAACAGCGAGAAATGCGCCGCGGCGAAGGAATGGGGTCTGCAAGTAATCAACCACCTGTGGCTAGAGGAGAGCTACGCGAAATGGAAGCTGCAGCCCGTCTCCGATCCCCGATATACGCACTTTCCCAAGAGAACAAACCTGGGCGAGGTTGTTGGCCAGACCAGACTGGATAAAGCCGTGCTCGAAAGCCAGCTCCTATCCGAGACCAACAACGTGGTACAGGCACCGTCGAGCCCGCGACCGGTGATGCAGCACAAGGACCAGAACACCGTGACTTCCAAGACGCCGAAACTTATCCAGCAGTCTTCCGCAAGAACTACCGAGTCTGAAACCGAAGTACCGCGCACGTCAGGTGCCACACCGCGGGTTGCGGATAAGTCCCGGAACGTCATGGACCCTCCAAAACTGCAGACGCCCGCTCGGACCCGGCTTACGTCCGAAGGAAAGGAGAATGATACGCCGTCGAGCACCAGCAGTCGCAAGTCGAAGGAGGTAGCCGCTGCTCGACTACACGATCTTGCACCCGACATGGCGTTGTATGAGAAGGAGAAGCGACGTGTTGGGGGCGTGATTCATGGTGGCCGGAGGGTGTCTGACGAGGATCGCATAGTACTCAACCCCAGCAAGAAGCGCGTGTCTATGGAACCGCAGGACGAAAGCGACGAGGATGAAACGACCGAGACCAAGAGACAGAAGAAGTCTAGACCCCCTGTCGCGATGCATCTGCTGATTACCGGATATCAAAAATGGGTTAAGAACCCGAAGACAGAGGATTCTGACAAGGTATGTTTCTCATATTACGACCAAGACTTTGCGATCTAACCGTTCACAGCGACAACTACGTGACCTTGGAATTTTGGTAGTCCAAGAAGCGAAGAGGTGTTCTCACCTTGCCGCACCGTCTATCCTCAGGACCCCCAAGTTCGTGAACGCATTGGCATACGGGCCAGTCATCATGAACATCGATTTCGTCACCCAGTGTCTCAAGCAGAACGCCCTCCTCGATCCCGCAGACTACACCCTCAAGGACAAGGCTTCCGAGGAAAAGTACGGATTCAAGCTCGAAAATGCCAGAACCAATGCCAAGAAGAACAAGAACAAGCTGTTGCACGGATACCAGATCTACTGCGTGGAGACAATCCGTGGTGGGTTCGATGCATTCAAGTCCATTGTGGATGCCAACGGTGGACAGTGCACTCTATTCCGGGGTCGGGTCTCATACCGATCACAGAGAGAAGAGAGCGAGGAAAGCTCGGGAGATGATGACCCCAGCCGCAAAGAGGTGTATCTGCTGAGCAGCACGGAACCGGATCAGGTGAAGACATGGCCACGCTTCCGAAGTATGGTTCTGAGTACGGGCAAAACGCCACGGATTATTCGTGTGGAGTGGCTTCTCGATATGGCTATGTCCCAGAAGCTGCATGCGGCGGATGCCTATGAGCTGAGCGAAGAAATGGCCGAGGTTTCGGAGCAGTAAGTGGGCCGGATCTATATGGTGTTATGAGTGCTGCGTCCAAGCGTCTTTGCTGGTTTGAAAGAAATGATAGCAATGGCTCTTTCGGGTCACTTCGCCGGGGACTTTTGTAAATGACTTACACTTTGCATGAAAATAGCCTGTTGTACCCAGAATCAATTTGTCCAGATATCAAACGGATGACCATCTAGAAGAATTTGACACCTTCTTGGCCTTCGCCACCGAAAACCTGTGCCTTGCCTCGTTTTACCAGCACATTGAGGCACTTGAGCATCACGTCCGTATCCATACCGTGCCATTCTAGCCGATCAGTTCATCTGTTCGAAGGATGGCTCTCACAGCACAACATACCTTGTGACAAGGTCCCCTCCCCCTCCACCAACTCATAGACTGTCAGAACCACATTCTTCTGCCCCGTATTCTCCACCTGCGATCATAACCAGGTCAGCAGCGAACGTTGCACACGCACTCTCCCCATCTCATTTTCCTAGGATCATCCACATACCCAATCCGCCACGATCCCCGCCCACTCCTCGGGCCTCTTCCACCAGATGCGAGCCACGGTCTTGGTGCTCCCGTCCAGCCACTCCGCCCGCTGTCCGCCGCCGCCCTCTTCCCCCTTGGCCATCCAGTCTAGCACATCCCGCGCATCTTTCGCGGACAGTCGCTTCCGCAGCGCCGCGTTGTAGAACAGCGGGCTCTCGATGGCCTCGCTGAGCGCCAGGCGGTAGGTTCGGTGATGACGACACCACGCCTGGATCAGGGAGGACCATTTCTGGAGCTGCGAGGTGCGCGTCGCGCTGTTGGGTTGCGGCGTGAAGAAGGGGGGGAAGGAGTAGGTTGGCGGGAATTGGAAGGGCGGAGGCGGTGGTGCGGTCGTCATTGTCATTGTATATGTTCTTGTATGTGTGGTATAGCAAGGTCGTGCGATAGATGCTCCTCTTTGGCTGGAAGAGATTGGTTTGCAATGGTAAACTTTGAATAATGAGGTAGATGAAGTGGCTGTGTTGTTCAGAAGCTGAGCCGATTGACCGATACCGCCGGTATCGATAAGTAAAGGCGGGCGCCAGCGGCAGCGGCAGCGGCAGCAGGAGCCCCGCGATGGGAGGGAGGGAGCTAAACTCAACTTTCCGCTCCCTTTCTTTCTTTTCTTTCTCCGCCTTAGAGAATTTTCCGCCTTTCGCCCTCCTCCCCCCGGTCCCCTCACCATCCTCCATTTCCTCTCCCCGCTGCTGCACCGATTTTGCGCAATTGGGTTATTCTCGGGCTGTATCTTCCCACCTTCTTATATTGGACTTCCATATCAACGCTACAAAAACACAATCACCATGACTCCTCCCCCTGCCAAACGCCAGAAGCGCGATGAGTATCGCAAGCAGGCAGCCGCTACGAACCCCGACGGCAGCAGCAGCACCACCACCACCAACGAGACCAGCCTCCCCGCGCGGGTCAAGCTGCCCAAGAAGAAGTTCTACCGGCAACGGGCGCATGCGAACCCATTCTCGGATCATCAGTTGCAATAGTATGTTGGGTTCTTGGTGTATCCCATTCTCCACACCGCACCTTACCTACCCACCTAGCATATTACCGGGTGACTGACCTCTGCTCGGAAATAGTCCCCTCAGCCCGGCGCATATGGACTGGGCCTCGCACTTCCCTGCCTACGTGAACCCGGACCCGTCGCAGACGAACCTCATCGGCACCCGCAAGCTGCTGAAGGATGTGGAGATCGTGGATATCGGGTGTGGATTTGGCGGGTTGCTCGTCGGTCTTGCGCCGTTGCTGCCGGAGACCTTGATGGTTGGTATGTATTGCCCTGTTTGTGTCCGTTGTCTATCATATTTGCGCAGCGCATCCTTTCCTCAAACAGCAGAGACCTAACGTGTTGTGGTTGGCGAAAACAGGAATGGAAATCCGCGTCTCCGTCCTCGACTACCTTTCCACCCGGATCCAAGCCCTCCGCGCCCAGCAGCAGCAACTTCAATCGACCCAAGGCACCTCCACCACCACCTCCACCACTCAAGCCATTACAGACACCACCGCAGCGCCCGCCGCCGAGTCCACCGCCATGGAAACCGAACCCCTCACTGAAACCCCCCCCACCACCGACCCCGCCACCACCGACGAACCTACCGAACCCACCACCCTCGTCCCCGGCGGCTACCAGAACATCACGGCGATCCGCAGCAACACGATGAAGTTCTTCCCCAACTTCTTCGCCAAGCACCAGCTGTCCAAGATCTTCATCTGCTTCCCGGACCCGCACTTCAAGGCCCGCAAGCACAAGGCCCGCATCGTCTCGGAGACGCTGAACGCCGAGTACGCCTACGCCCTGCGGCCCGGCGGCCTGCTCTACACCATCACGGATGTGGAGGAGTACCACCACTGGGTGCTGCGGCACTTCCGCGAGGGCGAGGACGCCGCGGCCGTTGACGGCGCCGTCGGCACCGTCAAGGAGCTGTTCGAGCGCCTGACCGACGAGGAGCTGGCGCGGGACCCCTGCGTGCGCGTCATGAGCGAGGAGACCGAGGAGTCCAAGAAGGTCACGCGCAACAAGGGGAACAAGTACGTCGCCGTGTTTCGGCGGAAGGAGGATCCCGCTTGGCCGGCTTAGCTTTATATATGCCCTTGAGGCTAGAATTTATTTGGGAGGGGGGGGGGGGGCGGTTTCAGCAAAAAGTTATATAGACGAATTGTATATGCTTGCAACTGGATTGCTTTCTGTGTGCTTATTTCGATGTAGGAGATCATGTCTGGGGATCTACGGTTGGTTTGGATAGTTCAAAAGTCCGTCGACAAATATAATCTCTAAAGAAAGGGGCATCCCGGCTGTCATGATATTCGAAGAACTCAAAAGGAAATGCAACAAATGCCAAAACAAGATCACGGAGAAAATGTATAACCACGACAAACAGGAAAACAACATTCTCATGCTTATACCCCATCCAGAAAACATACTTCGCGTGCTAAACTCCCGCTTGCGGCTATGCGATTGATATGGTGGGTTTCTAGTCAACTTTGGCAAATAAACAATGCAAGATAATATTCAAGAAAAATCAAGGTTGGCTCTTGGCCCGAAAAGATATATCAGCAGTGCATGTCTCAGTCAATGAGCAGCAATGTGACGAGGAGGGAGCGGTAGATTGTAGAGAATATGACTGCAACCAACGTAGAGATGAAAAAGAATGCAATAGAACGAATCTAACCAGGATTCGAAGCTGTCACGAATGGTTCGGGTAGGTGTCTCAGGGAGATGCTTTCAGTCGGATGCCCTCGCAGCGTTCACACACGGCAAGCTGAACGGGCCCTCCAATGATGCGGCCCTTGGCCGTTCGTTTGGGCTCGCCCTCGCGGACGAAGTACCGCCCCTCAGGGCCGAACCCGTCGCCGCACTCGTGGCAGACGAAGCACTGGTCATGCCACTGGCCGTCGATGGCGGAGATCACCACATCGTCCAGGACGGGTTTCTTGCAGCCGAGGCAGCGGGGGGCGGTGCGGCGGGAATGGCATTGCAAGCACCACGCAAACCCATCCTTTTCCACGAATGGTTTCTCTGAGCTGAAGGGCTAGAAGCAGAAAAAGAGAAAGGTTAGCAGTGCGCAGGATGTAGGAACATTTGGGGGTGGGGGTTCTCGTACGTCACCACATTCAGCGCAAAAGAAATGGCCGACATGCCACTCGGCACCGCACGCCACAACCACTTCCCCCTCTATCGGAGTCTTACAGCTCTTACATCTGGGGCTGAACAACTCATGGAAGTCAAGGTGACAGTAGAATCTCAATGTACGAGCTTCTTCATCGTCAGCCGCTGACTCGGCTAGTCGCTCGGCTCTCTTCGCATCCGGCTCTTGGTAGAACGCCACGCACTCAAGAGGCGTCTGACAGTGATGACAAACAAAACACTCGGGATGGAATCGAGTGCCGGCGGCAGTAACAATCTTTCCAGCAATCGGAAGTGTACAGCTCTCGCACTTGGCAGTAGGTACCCCGGAGCGTGTATAAGTCGATAGCCAACGACTCGTTGAGGTCGTGGCAGTCTTTGGAGGAGCTCGGTTGAGGCCTGCATTACTCTTTGGCGGAGTTGGTAATGGCTTCACTGCCATCCCAGAGCCCCCGCGAGAGCCAGAGATCTCAGAAATGGTAGGCTCCTTATCGTCCGGTAGATTGATTACCGGTACGGATGATGCCTCGGACACTTCGATCGTGGGCGCTGGCGGCGGCGGTTGGGGCGTCGCGTCCCAGCCCTTGTCGCGTTTGGGAGGGCTTTGTGCCTCGGTAGGTTTCCACCTGGGATCGAAACTCACTATAGGCCGACCGGCTCGGTCGCTCACCGCAGTGGGCATGGGAAGCCTGGTGCTGCGATCCCTGAGCTTCTTGCTCGTTGCAGCTCGAAGCTCATCACTGCGGATTTCCAGGCCATCTTTCGTTGGAATCTGCTGCTGAGGTGCCTCAGGTTCAGGCGGCGCTTCTTGGGACCGAGGCTCATTCGTCGTATACTCAGGGTTTCTCGTTTGACTCGGAGGATTTTTATGGATCTCGAAGCGAGAAAGCTTATCAACGAAAGAGAGACTACCAAAGCGACCTGGCAGAGGCCGGGACCCGCGAGGAAGGGCATTCCGCGGTTTACTCTTCAAAGCAGATGAGTCCGATCTAGAGAAGATTGAACGACCCCCCTCATCCTTCCGAGGAGAAAGATGGGGCTCTTCGTAGATCTGGTCGTTCGGGTTTCTGAAGATGCCTCTGGATGTCTCGTTCCTGACACTGGCCGAGCCTAACCCATGATTATCGCCTGAGGTCACCGTTGGTTCATCCTCTTGAGGAAGTGCGAAGTTGACCTTCATGCTTCTTCGCATGCTTCCTCCCTTGGTCGGGCTTTTCGTCGGGCTTGACCCTTCTTCTTCCAAGATGGTTTGCGAACCTCCTTCGACTGAGGACTTTCTATCACTTCCTCGAAAACCGTTCGTCCCACTATGGCTAACAGTCGATCCCTGGAACATAAGCCGACGACTATCCCTGCGTGCCGTGGGGGAGCTAGCAGCGCCATTTTGAGAAGCGAAGCTACTTCTTGGAGGGCTTTGTTGGAGATCTTGCAGATCGGGATTCTGGTAAGGTGCATAGGGATTCTTATACGGTATACCTGGATTTTGATGCATCCATACCAGCTCCGTGGCCTCATCCTGGGCAGCAGCGTGGAGATCATGTTCGTCATGGAGGTCCATTTCCTGCAATGCATCACGCAAGGATCTCGCCTCTTCCTTCTCTATGCGTCGCTGGGGGTTTTCACGATATGTAGGCCTTGCAGGAATCTGTTCCACCCGCGAGAAAACTTGCGCCGGTGATACAGTTTGCCTAATCGGGATAGTTCTCGGTTCCTGAACTAAAGGACGTCCAGTGGGGCCTCCCAAAGCAGAGGCTGGTCTATGGTTCGAGAGCGAACTGGTGGCCCGAGGGAATCTGGCCTCTGCAGAGGGAGGACTAGACTGCGTCCTCGGTGGGCCGTAAGACGACATCGCCGATGCCGCTCGCGGAGGCAAATCATCATGAGGATGAGTAGGCGCCGTAGTAGGTCTTACGGGAAGCGGCCTGGATCCGCCAGGACGTGTAGGACGATTCGTCCGCAGATCTTTCAAATAGGTCGCTGTAGGTCGGAGATCAGCATGGAAACCTCGATCCGAAGCGGTGACAGCCCGAATCAGGTCGATAAAGGCTGAATGGGGGAGAGAATGCTTTGGCGCGGCACTGTAAACATACCGATCTGGTCGTCGGACATATAGGTCGGGCCAGGAGGGGAGAACTTGCGTTGGCCCTCCTTGGGCTTCTGAAATTGAGGCCTATGCATCATACTGGCCATGGAGATGTATGGTGTACAGTCATGAACCGCAG